CCCTCCCTCCCTCCCTTTCTCTCTCTCTCTCTTTCTTTCTTTCTTTCTCTCTTTTTCTTTTAAAGATATACACAAACATCAGTTTAGCTGACTTGAGGCTGTGAACCATCTCAGCGGTCTTCTCATTAAGGACTTGGAGGCAAGGTGAGGGAAATAAGAGAGCTTTTTGCCAATTTTATTTCTATATAACTTGTCACCACCCCCACCAATAGGATCAGATATTCCTGAGGTCAGAGGTATGTCTTATTCATAAGTTTCTTATATGCTCTCATGTAAGAGGACTTACTTATTCATTCAACAAATACTTATTGAGCAGTTACTGCATACTGGGCATTATGTTGGGCACTATAAGAACAGTGAGACAGCCCTGACCGGTTTGGCTCAGTGGCTAGAGCGTCGGCCTACGGACTGAAGGGTCCCGAGTTTGATTCCAGTCAAGGGCAGGTACTGTGGTTGCCAGCACATCCCCAGTGGGGGATGTGCAGGAGGCAGCTGGTCGATGTTTCTCTCTCATCGATGATTCTAACTCTCTATTCCTCTCCCTTCCTTTCTGTAAAAAAATCAATAAAATGTATATATAAAAAACAAGAACAGTGAGACAGACACTGTTGGTTGCCAACTCAACTTCAATCTTCACTTCTTTCTGGTTAAACAAACTTCTGTTTTGTAAGGGCAGTAATGAATGTAGCAGGGTGAATCCTGCTCCTTTTGATCTAGGAGTGGCCATGTGACCCATGGTAGGAAATTTGGCAGTGAGTGGAGAGATTATAAAAAAAAAGAGAAGCATGACAGGAAAATTAGTTTTGGCCACCTTGGCCATCTTGTTCTTTTTGCCTTTGAATACAATTTTACAGAGATTAATGCAAGGAGTGGTTGCAGCCATTTCGTGACTGAGATAATGAGCCGGGGATACAATATATTATAGAAGACAGAGCAAAAGGTGGAAGAAACTTGGGTCCTTAATAACAGAGCTGCTAAATCAACTCTCATACCACCCTTCTCTGAAATATTAATGTGAAATAACTAAATATCTTTATTCTTTAAGCCCCAATTAGTTAAGTATTCTGTTACTTGAGATGAGCAGGATAGACCAGCTCCTGCCCTTGGGTAACCTACAGTTTATCAGTTAAGAGCTAGCAATGAGTAAATGCTTTCTATAAATTCCTCATAATAACTCTATAAGGCAGGGACTCTCTTTATTCCCATCCACATTTTACAGAGAGAAAAATTGAGGCCCAGGAAGATTAGATTACTTGCCCAAGGTCATTCTGCATGTAAGTAATGACATCAGAATGCTTGCTTTCTGAGCCACACAGTCCTGAGTAAGTTTGCTCTGAATCCTTGTTAAGTAAATGAATGGACAGGTTGTAGCAATAGAGCTGTTTGCTGGAAAGTGCAAGAGCTGTTCCCATTCTCTGCACTTCCAGGTGCATCCAGATGTTCTTTCTCTGAATCTGGAGCCAGACTTGCAGGAATGAGGCCACCCAGTGGGAAGAATCTGAATGACATCGAATACCTAGCCCTAGCCTTCACTGAGGAATCCCCCTGTCAGAGCCCTGTGGCTGTGGAATTGCCCTGCCATCCTCACCACCATCATCCCAGTGCAAGCCCTATTACCTCTAGCCTGGGCAATTGCAGAAACCTCATGCTAGGTCTTCCTGCTGCCAGCTTTTGTCCCCCAACATTCCTTAATGCCCACAGCAGCTAGAAGAATCACTTCAAGACAGAGATCAGCAGATGGGACTTTTCTGCTTAAAACGTTATTCTGGCTTCCCATTGTGCTTTCTAAGCTCAGACTCATTCCTTAACCTTTTTTACAAAATCCCAATGAAGCTCTACACCCTGTCCTGTCCACCCTCTAACATCCCTTCCCAAGCTCTTGTCCACCTTAGAGCTTTTGCTCTTTCTGGCTCCCTTGTCTGTATCCCCTTCCTTGGAACTTCACATAGTTGTCTTCTCCCTGCCCTGAGGTTCTCAGCTGAGATGTATCACCTCCTCCCGCAGCCTTCCCGCCCGATTACCCTATCTAAAGTTGCTGACACTTGTCTCAGGCATGCTCTATCACAGTGGTTTTCAACCTTCCTACCCTTTCATACAGTTCCTCATGTTGTGGTGACCCCCAATTTCATTGTTACAAATTGAACATAATTAAAGCATAGTGATTAATCACAAAAACAATATGTGATTACGTATGTGTTTTTCTGATGGTCTTAGGCGACCCCCGTGAAAGGGTCTTTCGACCCCCAAAGGGGTCGCGACCCACAGGTTGAGAACCGCTGCTCTATCACTTCCTCCTGCTTGCTTTCTTCATGGCATTTATCAGAATCTGAATGACCGGTTTGTTTATCCCGTTATTTATTAACTGTATTCCCCACCAGGATGTAAGTCCATGTGTCGTAGGAACTGCCGTTTTTATTTTCACTGTATCTCCAGTGGCTAGAGTAGTGCTTGGCACATAGTAGGTGTTCACTATTAGTTGAAAGAATAGCATTTCCAGAGCAGGACATACCTTTGCCTTCTGTTAAATTAAACCAGGGTTTCTCAACTTTGGCACTATTGATATTCAGGACTGGAGAATTCTTTATCGTGGAGGTCTGTGCTATCTATGTATTGGAGGAAATCTAGCCACACCCCCAGCCTCTGCCCACAAGGATAATGGAACCTTGGACAAGGGTCATGATAATGGAGGTGATGAGACGTGAACAGATTAAAAAATATATAACAATGTTATGTTCAACTCCATGGAAACAAGTCCCTTTAAATTTAGAAATGAAGGGATACAGAGGGGAAGGATCTTACCCTGGGAGCTGGGGGCTTATTCACAGCTTTTCTCCTCCAGAGCAAGGGGCTCTCTATTGTATCTCAGGGCCTACTTACTAATCATGCAGTAAATATGTATTTGAAAGAATAAGTGGGTAAATGGTGGGGGTGGAGGATAACTATAGCATCCTCGGGGAAGCCTTGCTGACCTCTCCAGGCAAACCCTTGGTTCTATATTCACTTCTGGGGATTACTTGATCGATTCTGTCTCCCCCATTGGACTGGGCGCTCAAGGGGAAGGTGTTTTTGTTTTTGTTTTTGTTTTTTTACTGAATCCACCACAGGATCTGGCACACAGGGAGCTCTCAATAACTAGCCGTCCAATATAACATGAATGAATGAATGAATGAATGAACTATATAAACTAGCTCACACCTCACTCTCTCTTCCCCTCACCTTGCTTGATTTTTCTTAGCAGTTATCACCAACTGCCACATTGCATATTCGTTGATGTATTCATCGGCCACATTTCCCCACTAGAATCCATTCTAGAATTAGATTTTAGAATCTAGACTAGAAACTCATGAAAGCGAGGGCTATTTAAAATTGCAGCCCCCGCCGAAACCGGTTTGGCTCAGTGGAT